AAAATCAAATTTTTATCGCGAAATAGAGTAAGTGCGCGATCGCAATAAGAAACTTAGAAGTTTCTTATTTTCGTTACCGGCTACTGGTCATCATCATCCTAAAGGTAGGAGACCCATCGGGTATTATTGAAGAGGATTCGAAGTAAGTATAATTCTTCTATCAATCATTTTTTACCAAAATTTCAATAGTATTTTATTACGACTATGATAATTAATTGTTTTTTTTCATTTTTCTGTTTCAGAATATCATTGTAATCGAGCATGTTGGCAATGTACGGGAGTGTTTTTGTTCGTTTATATTATATAATTTTAAAATCACGGATTTAGAATCACGTTTGTTCGTTTGTTAATTTAAATATCATCGCGTTTCGCACACGGGTTATTTTTGAAATATACACAGTAAATTAACTGCGAGCAATGCAGTTAATTACAATAGTGTATTTTTTCGTATAAAGTTTTTTTTTTATTTATAACAGTCGTACAGACTGTTCGCGAAAGTAGAGTCAGTGAAGTGACCGAGAGTGATATTTTCGTGTGTTTGCATTAAACTGCGTGCAATGCAGTTTTTAAAGTAGAGCCAGTGTTTGTTTGAATATTAAAAAGTATTATACAATTTTGATCGCGAAGTAAAGTCAGTGACCGAGCGGGCGTAAATTAAATTCAAATCATACGCGTATGTAGAGTCAGTGTTGTTCGCCGTATAAGAAAAATTTCGGTATTGCGACTTACAATCGTTTACCGCATTATTAGAGTCACGCGAGTGAGTGAATGAGTGAGTGCAAGGAAAAGTGCATCAAGGATTTCTCCGATGGATCTGGTGGACGAGGGATGCAGCTGGACTATTTTCTACGAAGTAGGAGTGTTTTGGAGCCACCGCAGAACTTCTAATGCCAACTGTTCATATAACATTTGTAACGAATGAGTCAAAAATTTAAAGTCCCTCCAGTGCTCAATCATGCCAAGGATGAAAGATCCCAATCGGCACGAGCTACTGGTTGTAATTTTTACCAAAAAATTATTGACGAGCACAAGAGTTTATTCCAAAAAAGGATTATTCCTTTTTTGGAATGGCTCATGAAACTGTATATATCGTTGTATGTATGTTTTATTAGTTTAGGATAGGTCTTCTTGCTCTTCGGTTAAATTCATTTAAATTAATAGTGCAAATTAATTAATGCACTTTTATTTTTTATTACGTGTTTTATTCGCTTTTAGTAGTGGTGAAATCGAGTATTAATTTACTCGATTTCGTGCCAGAAAAAGCATGTAATATAAATGTCTTACATGCATTGCTTCGTACATAGTTTATTTAATCGCGATTTATCTCGTTATATCGATACCTAGATATTATAAATGAGCAAGAAGACAAAACCCTTTCGCAAACGGATAGACTTTGGCAATTAAGTGGCGACTAAAAAAGCCCAGTTCTTTAATTAAAACAGCCAACTTAATCAAAGGAGTCGTCCGAAGATTTTTAATTTTTTTTAAATTCTTAATATCTTTTTGAAAGTCTTAAAAACTTGTAGAGTCATAGCCCGCTTAGATTTATTTGAGAATATTGAAATGTATTAATCAATTTTTTAGATTAGAAATTTCAGCAACTAATTTACTAATAACCCCTTTTCTCCCCCCTATGCAGTCTTCGTTCTCATCTATGCGTGTTACCCAGGTGTTACACGTATGGGTGAGAAAAAGATTGCATGGGTTATAGTTTTTAAGTTTTCTTTTAGCGACTTTCATTGTGCTAGTGATTGCACGGTGTAAATTGCGCCTGTGTGTGCGTTATAGGTGGTGCATTGTACACCGTTACGCGATACGTAATACCGCGCATTTTTTAAAAAGTTATTAAAATAAAAATAACTTGTAGAGTCACTCGTACGATACGAATTTTTTTTTTTTAATAATCGTTTTGCATAGTAGAGTCACCCACATTTATTTGTGAAAACATACACGTATATAACTAGTATGCATATATACTAGAATATACTTGTATTTTTGCAGTAGTTTTATTTGCAATAATCATTAGCCTTGGCAGTCGATTACAGCAAAAAGTACGTATACCCATTAGCATATAAGTTTATAAAACGTGGTTGAACTAGGGTGTCGGAGGTACCCCGGGGCATGCTCTCTAGTTTAGGCTTTTGCACCCTGGTGGTATGTGTGAGAACCGTGGAGTGAGTGAGTGGGTATGTATGTGTTTTTTTCTGAGTGAATGTGAAACTTTAATTTTAAGTAGGTAGGACTCAGGAAAGGCACATGGTACACTTACACTTTAAAAGTACAAGTCCCATCTCCGGGTATTTTTATGTAGAATTGTCACAAAATTTTATCTTTTTATTCTATCATGCTTACTTAGTAATTTTATTTTGTGACAATTCTATCATTTTTAATATGCATCATGATTCAAAGGTATTTGCAACCATTTGAAAGGTTTATTTATCGATTCTATCTCGTTTGAGATAGAATCGAAATTAAATTCGCAAAACCTTTGATGAATTTGATACTTAGTTTTAAGTATAACAGGTTTAACACTTCGCACTATCGCAATTTAGTCTTTGAAATGTTTGATATAATTTAATATAAATTAAATAAAAATATTGCAAAGAAATGCATTGCATTTTTAGTATTATTTTTATTTCAATTTGCTTTCATTACTTGATAGTAAAAAGTGCGAAGTGTTATTAAGTTCATCGATTAGCTTAATTAACTGCTCGGAAATTCGATTAAATGTGCTCGTGTAACATGTGCACAGTCGATGAACTCTGAGTTCGTCGATTGTCCACGAACTAGGATAGCTAACGATAAACGCGAATTTATTTTGTAATAATTATTTAACAGTCATAACGAAAATCGAAATTATTTGCAAAATGGTATGTATGATAGAAAAATAAATGAAAATATTCCATAGGTATTGTAATATGAAAGTTATTTCATTTATATTAGTGTTATAAGCAGTTGAGAGTAATTGGGCGAAAATGTCTATAAGTCGTTTCTAAACTGTAGGACCATAATCTGGCATATTACAACAATATGGTTGTGGCGGCGTGCGCTCAGCAGCGCCGCGGCCTGCCGAGACAGGCGCCGCGCCGGCAGTGATCGTGGTGGTAGTGGTGGGGGTGCACCTTTCCTAAATTTGTTGACTAAAAAAAAAAAAAAAGGTCATCAAGTTTCGAAATTCCAAATGGATCGTACACCACGAATTTTGGATCGTACAGGGCCTCAAATTATCGTGCGAATGGGATCACTGCGCGCCGGAGTCCCGATCTCGCCGGGACGAAGCCTGCCGATTAGGCAGTCAGTTTACGACGATCTACGAGAATTCACGCGAAACCTTTTGACTTGTACAGAAAATAATAAACCTATATTTGACTACGCACTTCTACACGGCTAAACTCTTTCCTTGCGATCCGGAAATTCTCTCTCTTGGAGACCGCACCTCATCCTCTCCAAATGGTATTAGAAAAGAATCGATAATTTACATGGTTAATAATATTCCTTTCGACGAAGAGATATCTCTCGATCAAAAGGTAATCATTATTTTCGATGTAAAAAAAAGCTCAGGATGTTTTACTAATCACATTTTTATTTTCAGGTTTGTGTTAGGATTGGTTAGGTCGGGTTTTTTCCATTTTATAATTTATAATCAGGGACGATTCTGATTCTATATCATTGATCGTTGTAACATGCTAAATTATGAGAATACT